ACATATATAACAACATTGTTGTATTGTAAAAAGTTTGATTGATATTGCGTTATGCACATGGTTGTAAAACGTAGAATAAAAACTATAATAAAAAAGTCCTAACAACTCTAGTAGAATCCTAAAAAAACTCTAATTAAATTCAAAAGAAGTTTAAAAGAAATTACAAAAGAGATTTAAAGAAATTATAAATTAATCTTTATATATATATATATCAAATAATCCTAAAGAAATAATAAAAAATTTCATAAATAAACTCTAAGTAAATTCTATATCCAAAATCAACTCCTATTTAAATTCCTAATAAAATCCTAAACACTAAATCAAATTTTAATCAAATCCTAAAAAAATTCTAATCAAAATTTAAAAAATCCTAATCAGATCTTAATTGAATCTTAAATTCTAAACCAGATTCTAATCAAATCTTGAATCCTAAATCAAATCTTAGTGGAATTCTAATCAAATCTTAAACCTTAAATAAACTCTTAATAAATTCTATAATAAATTAAAATTCTAATAATAAATAATCTACTTATCAATTTTGATTATAAATTTTTATACCTTTCAATTATTAAGTTGAAAATAAGCATAAAAAATTTAAAGAAGATGAATTCACCAGATAGAAGATAAATTCTAAAATTCACTTGGATGTTGGTCAATTTTCTTCTTTAATCTTAATGATAATTTTTTAGAGCCAATATCTCTTAATTTTACTATTTAATGGCTTTCAAAAAATTTAATATAATTAAAAATTAAATAAAATATTAATAAAAAATATTAATATATTCCACCAATAAATTGTTGTAAATCATAAAACCTTTCACTAGTCTTGTAAACTCCAATTCTTCAAATTTCAACATATTTGAAATCTAATAACCTTTAAATAAACCATGAAATCAAACTTAAATATATAACATAGATTCTATAAAACATCAATCATGCAATTACAAAATTTCACTAGTAGAATATAAACAAATCTTATAATATTTTTCATATCATATAGTCCTTTATGATTTTCAAAATCCAAAGTAACTTCAAAACAATTTTAACTTTGTAAAGGTTTTATAAAGTCAATACAAACTCAAATGACTTAAAATAAAATTTTAAAGAACCTTTTACAAGGTTTTTTCAACTTTCATTCTTCAATCAACCAAAAAATCCTAGAATTGCCATAGGTGCATGTTTTTATGCCTCAAGTTATAATTTTGACCTTGGTTTACAACATGTCTTTTTATGATATCAATTCTTGGTATCTTAAGGTAAATTTTGCTAAAAACTATTTTCAATAATTTTATAAATATGCCTATATGAATTAGATTTGTTATCTTCTTTCATTTGCTTCATTTATTGCTCTATAAATTAAGTAGAAATTCTTTTTATAATATAGCAGCAATAGTAATTATTAACTTTTTCTACCTCCTTCTTTATTATCAATATTTCTAACATAAATTGCCATAATATTTTCATTTAAGTTCTTCAATAATAACATCATTTTTTTTTTCCTTTTTCCTAATGATTGTGCTATATCACAACAATGTATAAGTAAAGAGTGTTGGAAGAAAGAATCTTTTTATTTCATGCTTTTATTGTGTATAAATTTATAAATTTCTTCTTGGTTGAGGATTATTTATTTTATTTCTTTAATAAAATTACCAACTAATAATGAGTCAATTTAAGTCATTATATTTATTTTTTAAATAATTTAATAAATAAAATAATTAATTAATTTAGAAAAAAATCCATTCACTTACTAAATAAATTTCTATTTTATAAAAAAAATTTGTAGCATATTAGCACTAAAAATAATTTTTATAAAAAATGACATTATTTTTCTATATATAAATACATAAATATTACAAGTATATTTCTTTTAAACTTAAATTAAATTACAAACAGTGAATAAATTTTTATTTGAAATTGAATTACAGAATATATGTGATAAAAAAGTCATAAAAATTCAAAAAATATTATTAATTATTTAAAAAAGAAACAATTATAATTTTTTAAAAATAAGTGTAAATAACGGTTTTATCTTTAAAAATATTTTTTCATATAAAATATAATTTTATTTAATTTTAAAAATTCTTAGCATCAATATATTTTATAACTTCTAGGGCATCGATTCTAGATTTTTAAGTATTTTATAATTTAAAAATTAAATAAAATAAATATTATAGAACTATTATAAAATAATTTAAGGAAACGATCTAGAATTTTAGTTACAAATTAAGTCTTCATCTAGAGTATATTAATAAATACAAAAAAAATAAGATTTTACTCACAATATAACTAAAATTGTATATATATTCCATAAAAAATATAATATTTATCAAAGAAATGGAACATATTATATTTAATATTATTTTAAATTTTATTTGTACTATTTGGTTCAAACTTCAAGTATTTTGTTGCATAAGCTATAAAAAATATTTCTTAAGAAAGATTCTAAAACTATTAACTAGCTTTGATATTATGTCACGGCCATAATCATGTAAGCTAATAATTACATATAGAAATAGGTAGAAGTAAGTAAAACTAGATAAAAGTAACTTAATTCTATAATATTTAATATAGAAGCTTCTTAGAAACTTCCTAGACGCTGCTTTGACTTCATAGGTGTCTTTAATTGACTTTTTGGATTAGAAACCTGGTCAACAAGTTGGCCAGGTACCACACATGTTGTTAGCTTGAAGATCAAGCTAACTATGTGGCCCACACGTAGAAAAACTAGCCTTGTAAGTCAAGGCATGTGTCCTACAAAGTCAACACATATTGGAGGTCCTATAGAACGTCGCCACGTAGCCCCTAGTTAGATAGTATATATAGAGACAAGAGTGAAGGCTTCTTCACTCTTGTCAACTCCTTTCTTGCTTCTAGTCCAGGTTCAAGAGTCTTTAGTTTCTTGTCTTGTGGCAATAGCCATTCCAGTTTCCTTTTAATATACCTACTTGTTTATATTTTGACTTATTATATCGAGATAGCCTTTTGGTGTATATTTTCCCTCATCGAGTCTTTGTCCTTGACATATTAATATATGATTGAAATTATTTTCTTTTTTTAAATCTAATTTACTAATTAAGTATAATTTTTTTAATACAATAATAATAATAAAAATAAATTAATATATTTAAAATTATTAAAAAATATATAAATTTTTGTTTTATATATATCTATATATATTTATAGATAATTAATATAATATTTTTGATTAATAAGTTAAAGTCGCTTATTAGTTGGTCATAACATCATATAGTTGTAGTAGCCTAGTATATTTTTCTTGTGACCTTAAAAATGAGTGTTTTTAAGTGAAAGCATAATTATTAGATGATTTTGGATAATTTAGCTTTAAATCTTATTATTTATATAACTTTTTTAACTATAGTATTTTAAAAAACTAATTAGAGTAGAAATAATGTCATAATTAATTTAAAAATTGATTAGAAGTTAATTAGAAGTAATTTAGAAGATACTTAAAATAATTTTAAAATAATGTAATTTCAATCCAAATTACCATACTTCTAATCTTTATAAGTATCACAATCTATCATAAATCAAGGCATTTGAATAGTCAAATTTTATTAGAGAATGTATTTTAAAGATAACAATAGAACTATTTTGGCTAAGAAAATATTTTTAAGACTAATTTGATGGCTATTAACTTTTCATTGAATTTTGGCCCTAAAATCAATAAAGACTATGGATCTTAGTTTGAGCTCTTTCGGATTTAAAGGTGGAGATTTGGCCACCACTCTTAGATTTTGAGGCATTTGTATAAGAATTCTCATGGGCTAATATAATCAAGTCATTTTTTTAATTTTTTATATTTTTTTGATAAACAAAGTCATGCCAAATTTTCTCTATGCATTATAAGTGACTTTGATCTTTTTTAATTCATTATTTTGATTTCAAGATTTAAGTTTTAAAAATTTAGATAAATATTGTAAAATAAATTTAATTTTTTAAACATTAAATTATATGGATTTGAATTTTGGATAAGAAAGCAATATCTCATTTAGTAAAGGATAGTATATTGTCTTTGTAATTTGGTAGTTCTATTTTAGAAGCATGACTTTCATTTCTCACAAGTTGAAAATCAACAAGCTTTGTTTCACTGAAGAGCTAATAAAGTATTATTTTTAAAGAGCTAAAAATTAATAATAGTAGAGCCAAGAGTGCTAAGAATGTTGGTTTTTGGCAAAGAGTGTGCTGTCTTTAAATTCAAGCAATCAATTAAAGATAAAACTTTGGAAGGCAAGATGAAGAAGATCAAGGAAATCCAAGGGCTCATTATTTTAAGGTATTTTTTTATGTTAAGTTATAATTCTAATAATCTTAGATTCACTAGGAAAAAAATCAAGGATAAGGTTGTAGAGTTTAATTTTGTAGAAGAAGATTTGTTACCTTGCCAAATTAGATCATCAACTCTGAGGGGTGGTATTAAAGGCATCTAAAAAAACTTTGACCATGAATATTGGAAAGTGGATGCGCCTTCAGTCTTGCTTTCTAAAAAGACTAGTTAATGACAATTTGGAGCTTGGTAGCATATGTGGTATGTTATTTTATGTTGAAGGATGCAATAATAGGCTTGGAATTACTAAACTCCTTGGGTTCTTTATTGGGATGATTTCTAAGTCTATTAGTTAGTTTGAACAGATGAACTTTAGAAGAAAGATTATAAAAAATGTAGAAATTTAATTTGGATAAATAATTATATCAATAGATTAAAATTTTGGATAAATGTAATAATTTGATGAAGTTGTGAATTTGGATGTGGTGTGCTTTGTTGATGAAAAATTGAGATTAGATCTTTTGTATAGATTAGGATGAGTTTTGGTTGGATGAATTTATGAAACTTTAAAAAAAAAACCATCGTGCTTCTATCTCAAAACCTTCTGCAATTTTATTTTTATTTGAAAAAATCTTAATTAGAACCCTTCTCTTAAAATTTTAAATAATTGAATAATTGTTGAAATTTTAATAGAAAAAAAGATTAAAAAAATATATTAAAGACAAATGTGTGCAGTTACACACAATTGATATCATTAAATCCAATTCAATCATACAATGCAAGTAACTACATCATCTGTTAAACATGATTTTAAAGTTTTAACCTCCACTCATCCAGCCCCAATGGATACATACAATGCAAGTCAATGATCAATATTGAGGCACAAAGCAACACCTTGAAGCACCCAATGGGAAGGGTGGATGGTGGTGGAGAGGTCAGCTTCGAAGATGAGACCAACTCCCATGGCATTCCGCCGTGCTTGTGTCACATACACAGGTGTTCGAAATGTGTTGGTGAGTTTCAGCTTGTTTCCTTCTATGGGAATGATGTGCAGTATCGGGAGCTCCACAACTAAGATTTTGGGGTCCTGGGATATGGCATACAGACGACCTCCACTTGTATCAAAACCACACATCCTACAAAATCTTTTCCTTTCTAATACAATTCCCAAACTCACCCCATCCTCACTCAGAGTACATGAATACATTGCACAGTCCCAATAAAAACATGGGCATAAAAACAATTCCAATAGTTAACTGGCATTAATATGTTGGGGTTAAAGGAGGACCCAACAAATTACTGGGAATGTAGGTGGAACAATACTGTGGGTGTGAGAAGAGAGGGTGGAGACAAGGTGTGAGAGAATGTGTTAGGGGGTATGAAAAGAAGAGAGAGAGTGTGTGTGAGAGAGAGAGAGAGAGAGAGAGAGATGCACCTGAGTCCTGAGCATGAGGGTGTCTGGGTTCCAAGAGGCACCCTCCAGGTAGAGCCCTGTTACATAGCATCCATCCTGGGGCTTGTCCTTAATCTCATCTGGGTGCATGTAGGGTGTGACTTGTGTGTAGATGCTGGATTGGTCAAGGGGCCATCCTTTGGCACGGCATGTGCTCTGCACAAGTGCTGCTATGAAGGTCTCTGGAATGTGGAGGCCGGACATCCACATCACCACTGGCTCTCCGACCTCAATCCATTTCTTATATTGCTGATAGCGCCTTTGGAACCATGCCATCCATGCTGGCAGCATCTTCTGAGTCTACAACACCCACAATCCACCACACCACATCACTTCACTCTCACACTTCTATCTGTATTGATGCATCCAGGTCACAGTTAGCATCACCATGCCATGGTTTTAACAATGCTATGCCTTTTTTTTCTTTAGAGGAAAAGTATGTACAAAAATCATCTGTTGTTTGCTAATGCACAAATACATAAAATAGTACTTGCATGGGAGGATGTTTTGTCATAGCTCTTCAGTGTTATCATTTTTTTATTTGTTGTATTTTTAAAAATAAAAAATTACAATTATTAAAAAGAAGAAAAAGAAAATAATAAAAGCTTGAGAAATCCACAAAGCAAACCCTGAAGGTGTAAACCAGGGAGATATGTCAGTTCAAAGCATGTGTTACTTGTGCAGTCATCTTGCGCCACATGGAAGGTAATTCTCCATTGAAGAGAGCAGTTGACAAGTCATCAAGGTCTGTGCTCATGCCAATTTCACCTGTTCCATGTAGTCTCATGTCAAAGTGGGTCTGTTGCTGCATTGGCTGACATGATGCAAGGGACCTGGAAACCTACTCTTTCTCTTCCCTTTCTATCATTAACCCTCAATCTCAGATGATCATGCATTGGTCTAGGGCACACATTGGACTTACCTCCTAAAGCTCTTTGTAAATGAAATAAGCTGTTCCCCATGGTATCTACTAGTCTGTTCCACCTCTCCACTTCTTGCAGCAACACCACCTGTTGTTTGAGGACAAAACTCAAAAAATAAATTCAGAATTCAAATAATACCTTTCAATTATTTAAACAATGATTTATTAGGAAAGAAAAATAGGAACACTTGGTTTTAATCAAGAGAGATTGCAATGCTGTGCAGTGGCTGAATTGGGAACAAATCCTGGAGAGAGGAGCTGTGGATGATGATCCTGACCTGCATAGGGGATGGGATTCCTATCTGTTTCCTCAAGGCTGGGAGGTCAAATGGTAGTGGTATTTTGGTAAGCAGGTCAGCCGCAATCCTGTCAACAATGTCTTCCTGGCGGGTGCCATCACTACCACCTGCTGCACTAGGCTGCATGCTCACCAAGTCCTTCCACAAGGTTTTGGTGCTGCTGGAGTAGTAGCTGATGTCTGCATTGGGGTGCAGACCAAACACTTGTGGAGATTGCACAATAGGCAACTCCCCAATGTAGTGTATGTAGTGGTCTCTGTGCCCAGTCTCTGGCAGCCTGTACACAATGGACTCACCCGTGGAGGCAAAGAACATGAAGGGATGCACCTTATCAAACAGGAAGTCCCCCAGGTACTCCTCCAGATATGTTGTGAGGATTCTTCTATCAAAGGAATCTGATACCCTACCTCCATACATGGCCTCCCCTATCAAATACCTCAATGTGCCCCATGGAATTTGGTCATCCTTGTTGTCAAATGCTTTTTTCAGATATGTTGATATCAATGCCAAGCTACAACCAAAACACCACCATTCCCCCTTATTTTCTCTTTGCATTGATATAAAACATACTCATTCTCTTGTACCAAAGCATGTATTTTTTAAAAAACTTATAAAATTAGTATGTTTTACATTCTAACCATAAACTTGATATGAAAATAATTTATTCTGTCTAAATTCATATGTTTCTGATGTACATGTTTTAAATTCTAAATAAAGTAGTTATTGATAATAGCATGTATATGATGATGTGAAACTAAGATTTTTTTATTTTATTTTATTTTATTTTATTTTTCCCCCTATAAACTTGTACCTAATACGCAAGTCTGTTTCATTAAAATCATAAGGAACATTCTATCCAAGTCTTCCATATTTCCGCCGCTCTTGTACCACTGCATGAAAAAATGCTACCACAAAGACCTACAAAATATTGTCATTGATTCTGTTAATGAGAATTTTAATCTGCATCTGATATTTTAATAGAAAATTAAAATATCCTAAGTATGAAATATTGTTTTATCCAGTAAGTTGACCATTGTATATTATTCAAATAGTAATAATAATAGTAATGATAACCCCATTTAAAATGATGAATTGCATGAAAAAGGGTTCTGAAATTTTCAGAGAAAATTGTATCAATAAGCAATTGTAAAAATAATTTGAAAATTGTTAGAAAATATAATATCTACATTTTCTGGGAGGAAGTTGATATTTTGATTGTTTCACACATATTGTGCTTATCTTGTTCATAACATTCTTTGATTTGATTTTTTGGTCAATTCTCCTCTAACAACCTCCAATAAGGGTAATGTGTAGGAGAAGTGAGGTTTCGTTTTAGTGTGCACTTTACCACAATCTTCACTTAGCATTGGGAGGAGGACCAAGAGAAGCATGATGGCAGACAGAGGAGGATGAAGTTTGGGAACCACCTGAGGTCGATAAGCAAAGTGAGGGCATTCAGCAAGGTTCTCTTCACTGATCTTGGTATATGAGGAGCGCAAATTGAGCTTCAGTCCATTGGGGGGCTCTGCCACCACCTTCAGGCTCCGCTGCAGGATGCCCAGGGGGAATGTGGATGTGGGCTCTGTTGTCAGCCACAGCCGGAAGTCATTGTGGGGCTTCACTAGTTTCTCCAAGATTTTTTCCAGGGTCTTCAGCCAGGATGGGAGCAAATGGCAGTTTTGAAGCATCACCCACAAACCCCGCATGGAACCCTGCTCTATCTGCTCTGCTGCCTTTGGACCCATCCCTGGTGCCCCCCAGTGCCATCCCCACCTTCCTTGTTAGTTGGTATTTGCATTCTCATGAAAGGAAGAGGGATGGAGATGTCATTCATGTTGGTACTCAAAATACCAAATGGTGCAGGGACATTCATTTGGCATGGCAGTTTTTAGAGTGATAAGGTGTGAAGAAGCATTTTAATCATGATGTTGTCACCTTGCCCAAGAGCCATGTATTTCAGCTTTTGCCCTGGTTTGAACCCCATTTCTTCACCAAGGTTGAATATGTCAAAAGCAGGGTCTGCACCTGGACTTAGGATAAAAACTATGGGCATCATGGATGAACTTTGAGTGTGGATGGCTTTGTAATCTAGTACAGGAGGCATTATGTACTTCTCTCCCATGACCTTCATCACATATTACTGTCACAAGATATATTGCATTGTGGTGAACAATTTGGTACTAAGTCATGATCAATTTTTGCATACAAATGTTATTCAATCACCATATAACCATCACATTGTAGTTAAATATATATATATATATATATATATATATATATATATATGGTTTCAACAAGTACGTACAGTCAAAGAAACTGTGATTCTGTCTATGCGGAAGCAACGCAGGACCATGAGTTGCTCAAAAGTTTCAAGTTTCTCTGAAAATCCTCCAGGCATGGGCATTGCTTCTGGACGGGCTTCATTATACCTGCACATGGTTTTGAAAATATAATAATATTTATGCTCTCATCACAGCTCAATTGTGACCATGCTGAAATCTTCCAGTTTCATATTAATGTTTTCATAAGTGTGTACATGACAACATCCAACTTCAGTAATGAATGAGTTGTGGAAGATGATAGTCATGCAGCAAGATCATGTTCATGGATCATAGTATAAATATGAATGATTTAAAAAATGAACCCTTAGATGTATGCTTGTGGTGTTGGGAAGTTTAAATGCTAGTGAGTCATTCTAAAGAGCCAAAAAGAATGGGTGGAGGAAAACCAGCACTGGTTTATTACACAATTAAATGCCTTGGAGAATACAAGACTTGATGATATCTACATGTGTAACATGATGACAAGATGTGTGCACTAGGGAGCAAACAATTGTGCTACTGTTAAAATAAAATAAAATAAAATCCTATTTGCTTAACATGCTCATTATAGTGATTTGAAAAGTGTTTTGGCAGATGGATGGATGGATGGATGGATGGATATAAGGAGTAAAAATGGTGAGCAAAGCAAGAATGATGGAGTCAGGGGTGAATTACCAAGCTTGCCATTCCTCCTCATGATCTTCAAAGTGCAGGCCCAATTCATGGAAAGTTGGAGCCAAGGCAAAGAGGGCAGTCATGTCCTGCCATCCCTGCTCAGAGAACCATGTAGGGAAGGGGTTGGGCTTGAGGGCCTTCTCAAGGGACAAGTTGCCCTTAAGGAAGAAGTCCAGATGCTGCTGATTGAGAAGGTTGTCCCCCTTGAGAATACCCAAGGTGAACTGGAAAGACAGCATTAGCTTGTGCTTCTCAAATAGGCCCATGCATGCATGATTGTAGAGGTCACTTGTCAAAGCATCCATGATATTACTCAGCCGCCCCTCTAGTGTCTTATGCTTCTGGCTAGTAGGAAGAGAGATGCCAAAAACCTCCAGAAATGAATTCAAAGAGTACTCATACATGTTGTTGATGGCAGAGAGGTTGCTCAGCACAAAAAATAAGATGGCACCTCGCTTGGCTGCAGGAAAATACCTTTCCCGAAGCTGCAACAAAATCCATATCCTCATCATCAATACACCATAACCTTTGCCTCAATCTCCCTATCTTATGTTCTCTCAAGGAATCAGAAAAAAACTTGTGTATGTTCACGACAAGACTGAACATTTTGCTTGCAAAATCATGAGTAGTTGAATCATCAATAATACCTTTTATTCCTCAAGGCACATATCTTAACAGATTATGCAATCTCAAGGCCTTGATATAATTATAATTGATGACTACTAATTACAGCACTACTACAAAATCCTAAATGAAAGTTGAAGGACTGTTGGTAGTATGATTTGATGTTAAAATTGAAATTGTAAAATTTTAAAAAATAAGTGGCTAAGGGTCTAAAATCATGTCTTGAATTGGTGCTTTAAGGCCTCAACATTAAAAAAATAATGTCATTATTAATTGTATCCCAAAAATCCAAGCCTCGTTTAATACTTTTATACAGATCACTTCAAGTTACATCTAATAAATATGACCTCCACTGTGCCTTAAATCTTGAAAGACAAACAGTAAATTGATCATTGAATAGAACTAGTTTGCAATTGGAAATGGCTGCTAAGCCATCGTATTGTGTGATAATGGGTGAAGAGCATACCATGTTTATTTCAACAGATGTTTCTTGAGCCATGGCTAGCTTCACTGCGATTTCACTTGCCTTTGATTTAGTGATCTCTAGTGTTGCAATTAATTCATGGTTATCTAGGATATTTCCTGTGGCAGCACTCAGTTCCTTAACACATGACACCCATAAACACCTCCATCTCCATTAATTTAGAACATGGTAAAAAACAAATCTGTATTATGGTAATAAAATTGTAAGCAAATCTCAAACAACAGAAGATATCTTCTTATCACTGAAAACTCAAGTGGACAAAATCACAAAATTACTTGTAACAGTGTGTCCTCAAGTTACTTTAATAATGCCTTGTTTTCACCAGTTTCAATAACCAGCTTCTCTCTTAGTTGCTCCAAGTCTGGCCTTTCATGTCCCACCTAATGAATTTCAAAACAACTAAAGAATATTTTAAATGCCTTCCACTCTCGTTCAATTATTGATCGTGAGCTTGGCTGTGACAAAAAAAAAGTGTGTGTGTGTGTGTGTGTGTGTGTGTTCATTTTAAAGTAAGGAACAAATACCCTTAAGATTACTGGTAGATACATTCTAAAGTATGCTCAGCTCATTGGTGCCCAGATGAGGTGACATTCATGTCCTGGGTGCTAAGAGGAGGAGGAGGATACACAGGTGATTTGCAGCATTGCTATCCTACACCATGTTGCTACAGCATTGCCCCCAAACCAAGCACAGACTCCCTTGCAATGTTTGATTTCAGTTTCAAACCACACATCACAGATTTAGTGTTCCCATGGCATGATTTCAAAGAAATCTTTCTTAGACTTACAGTTGCATTCAGAAGCTGTGCTTAGAGACCTTGTTCTGTTACACAATAGTTAATAATCAGTGTCTTTCCAGAAATTTCTGGCCCATATTCTGGATTGGGCAGCTTACTCACAAGATAAAGTCTGAAATTTTCATCCTGAACAGGGAAATTAGACAGTGTATGTTATTAACATTAACTGTATTGATGATTGTGATAACTGATATTTTTTAAAAATAGATACATTACTAAGAAAAGCAGTGACATTGCAAATTTTCATGTGATGGATATATTGAAAAAAAAAAACAAAACAAAACAAAACAAGTATCTGTAATGATTGTTTTGAACAAATGAAAACCTGCTGTGCAATGGGACAATGATACAATTTGCAAAATATAAGAAATAAAGAAATGAGAATGCATAAAAAATAACTTATCTATTTTCCTAGCTTCTAGATAAGCATTCTTTGAAAATTAATTTATTATTAATAATGTAAAAAATGAATAATTTTTAAAAATTTAACTAATATCCTTTTTAATGCTAAGCAAAATTGTATGAAAACAATGTTAGAACAACAGAGCAGAAAATCCTACCCAATCAATTTCTTTATCACCAAGTTTCACAGTCTTTCTTCCTCCTGGTCCAGAAGTTGTAATTTTTTCTAGTATGGGATCAATGATTGGATCTATGTATTCATCCACATTTTCAAACATGAATGGGAATCCATATTGAATTGCCAATTCCAACTGCTTCAGAAAATCTGTGTCATTAAATGTTCATATTTGACCTTCCAGCATTTTTCCTTCTTTTTTCTTTATCCAATTGATGGCCTAGTCATTTCATGCCACTTACATGGATGAGCTTCTAACTTTGTTGGCTTTGTGAATAATGACCTCTGATTCAATATGTTCTAATAGCTATTCAAATTTTCTTTCTACATTGTTTTAGTGAATATAAAAATAAGTATTTAAATGGATGTGTCTCTTACCTGAAGCTGTGGATCAATGCAAAGAGGGAAACGTGAGCCCTTGGTAGTAAGAATTCCATTCTGAATGGAAAGATCATTGGATGGAAGCCCTTGACTGTTCCAAGTGTTGATCTCAACTTCAGTTGATAAAAGGTTCTCAAGATTTAAAGGATCACTCACTGGAACCTTTCTTTTCAGAAGGTCTAAGGACTATGTCCCTAACAAGTCCTCATGTGTGAAACACAAGGTTTCCTCCCACTCCAAGCTTCTTGTGAAGTCATTGATGTAAGTGCATTTGTAGGACACCTATTCCTTGTATACATTGCATTCTCCACAGCTTCCGTCCAAAATTCATGCCCAAGATTTTGAGCATAAATCATACTCCTTGCCATCTCCACAATAGTTCGATTTGCTCTTTCAGCAACTCCATTTTATTGTGGAGTATAGGTATGGAAGTTTGTCTTGCAATACCATGAATCTTCAAATACTCATCAAAATGCTTTGACAAATACTCACCTCTATTGTCTGTACGCAACATCTTGATCTTGCACTCACATTGCTTCTCCACAAGTGCCTTAAATTCCTTAAACTTTGAAAAGCATTCACTCTTGGATTTAAGGATGAAAATCCATACCTTCCTTGAAAAGTCATCAATAAATGTAACAAAGTACTTTGATCCTGCCATTGATGGTGTCCTCATAGGTCCACAAACATCAGAATGTACAATCTCCAACAATTTGGTTGCACGTGTTGCAACTCTACTTGGAAATGAAGCTCTTTGTTGTTTGCCTTGAATACAACCTTCACAAGTAAGATTTGTGCATGAATGACCAAGATCTAAGCCACTAACCATGGATTGGAGCTCCTTCATACTTTTGGCGTTCAAATGATCAAGGCGTCGATGCCAAATGCCAAACTTGTCTTGATCTTGTGGAAATTCAGCAAATGCCGCCACTTCAACTCCATTCACCTTCTTACAATTGATGAAGTAAAGATTGCCATCTCTAAAGCCTTTCAAAAGATTATCTCCATCCATTGTCTTCACAAAGCATCCATTCATATCAAATTGTACCTTACAACCATGAGAAACAAGTTTACTCACCGAAAGAAGGTTCTTCTTTATCTTTTGCACATGTAACACTTCTTTTAATCTGATCTTCTTCATTTGATTCTTCACAACAATCTCCTCCACAATGGAGCCAATTCCAATGGCTTGCACCATGCCATTATCTCCTAACCATACTTTTGTTGTTAGAAAAGTCTCATAAGTGTCAAATGAACACTTGTATGGAGTCATGAGCTTAGTAGCACCCGAATCAATGATCCATTAGGACATGGCAGCCATAGATGTGCCTCCATTTGCCATGAATGCATAATCATCTCCACCAACTTCATCACATGCATTGTTAGCATTTTCTGTATCTCTTTTCTTGGCCTTGTAACAATTTCGTGCAAAATGACCCGGTTTTCCACAAATGAAGCAAGTTCTTGTATTGCTTCTCACATTGTTACGTTGGTTGGAATAGGTACGTTTACATTGTCTTAAGAAGAGAGCTGAATCTTCACTTTGATGCTCCTTCACTTCCCTTTTAGTTACTTCATATGCAAGTCTTGATGTCACATAGTCCATTGTAAGCTCCTTCAACCTCAAAGACTCCAATGCCACAATGAGGTAGTTGTAGGACTCGGAAAGACTCATGAGTAGAGTCATGACAATGTCACCATCCTCTAAAGGCTTGTTAACAATTGTTAGTTGATTTGCAAGAGCCTTTACCTTATTAACATGTGCCATGAGGTCTTCACCTTCTTCCATCTTATAAGTGAAGAATTTCCTTCTTGTGAAGAGGATGTTGGACAAGTTCTTGCTCTCATATATGTTGCAAAGTATCTTCCATGCTTCTGCTGGTCCTTTGCAATGGATAATGTGAGAAAAGTTGGCTTCATCCAAATTGGTGGCAATCATGCCAAAAGCCTTCTTTTCACGTCTTTTGAAGTTCTTGTGGTCCTTAGGGCTTGCATCTATGCTTGGAGGGTCTTCACTGTCATCTACAATATCCCAAAGGTCCAAAGACGCCAACAAAAGCTCCATTTTGACCTTCCAATGGTAGAAATTATTGCCTCTAAACTTCTCAATCACTCTCAAACCTTCACCCTCACTAGGATCCATGTCTAAGGAGGAGTGTATCAAAAAATATTGAGAAAAGGAGTCTCTAAAAGCTTAAAATCACCAAATGAAGTTTGCACTAGCAGAATCTGAGAATGCCATTTTAT